TAGAGGTATTATACATAAAACGGATCGAAGGTTCTTTTGTGTGGAATATTACTTTTTTATTTCAAAATTTGATCACTAAATTTAATATCCATTGCGTCAGGGGCAACAACCATAATGTATGATATACTGCACATGTGCACAATAATTATTAAACACCTCGGATAATACAATCCCCTATATTCCTGAAGGTACCTCAAGGTACCTTGTGTAAGTGAGGGCTATACATTTAGAGACAATGGACAGACAGCAAATGTCCGAGCATGCTAGGATTAATTTCTGGTTTTATAAAAATCCGAGGATTGAACCCGGGACTCGAGCGTGGGAGGCAAGTGTCCCTACCACTCGACCACGAAGTTAGAATTAAATAAGAATAATAAAAATGTTGCTTGTAATTATTATAATTGTTGATTTTAGTCAATGATTACATAAGGTATCTGTGATACGGAAATGCCTTACTTAAAATAAGCGGTTCAAACGTGTCTTATTTTTGCTCAAATAGGGAATAAGAGAATTCCGGAAGCTCTATAATCATGATTATATGAACAAAATAAGGGTGGTCCCATATGCTGCAAGAGTGAATACCTTAAATAAGTAAGTAAAATGGTCAAAAGGATTAATACTGTTGCGGATTATCTTGGAATGTGTTTTGTAAAGCAAATCATTATAGTATAAATATTATACCAACTCAATGCACTAACATGAGTTTAAAATGAAATTTAGTAATATTACGAAATGCAATTAAGACACTAAAACATTGAGCAAAGGCTAATTTGTGGTAATATTTAATCTGGAGAAAACAAGATGTTAATCGTTTGGTGAACTTACCAGACGATTTTTGATACATTTTTGTACAGCGACTAAATTTGAAATCTATTTGAGGAGAAGTCATAATAAGACTACCTCATCATTAAAATTGTTACTTAATTTTATGTGGATTTTGACGGTGTACACGCACATGTTTGTTTAAATTTGTTCTCATTGTAAATCATCTTCCTACAGAAAGTTGGGCTCTCTGGACTTAGAAAACTAAACGCATATCTGGATCCAAAGGGAAAAGGTCTTGCATAGTTTGAGTATGATATGAGTAAATTAATTGTTCTTTTATAATTCTGCGAACGTTATCTTTAGACACTTCTACTTCCAGTCCTAAACATCTAGTGCTTAATTTTTGGGTCTTCTACAAGACTTTCCCAAAATTTCTCTTCGCGTTCAGGAGTTCTAATTCCTGATGACTGGTGAAGATATATTATTAATATCTTAATTTAATTTATATGGCGATTGTTGAATGTGATCCATTTTCAGCAGATATAATTCTAAAGCAAGAGAAATTAAATGTTGGCTGGTCAATTTGCCATGCCCTCGAATATGTTCCTGTGTCAAGGTGCAATAAATATGATTATGATTATAAAGCAAGTATGTGTAAGAGAGAAGAAAAATGTTTTGAATGTGCAAGTAAAGAACACAAAACGATGGATTGCGTAAGAGAATTTTAAATGTTGCAACTGCATTCTAGCAAATGAAAAATTCAAGTTAAATCCAATATCTAATTATACTGTTTTTGATATAAATTGTCCTGTATATTTGAGAAAAAAAGAATCTTTAAAATAGAAAATAAAAATAGCTCATGACGATAAATAACAATCAAATGACAAAAAACCAGACACTTTGAACACATTTCAATTTTCTATTTTACATCAAAATGTGCAATGTACATATAAGAAACAATCTTCAAATATTGTTACAATCGGATGACATAAATATAGCATGTGTTTCTGAGCACTGGCTTCATGAAACTGAAATTAATAGTATAAAAATAAACAATTACAGTTTGTGTAGTATATATTGCGGGAATAAATATAAGAATGGTGGCACAGCTATTTTTTATAAAAATTATTTGAAAAATTAGGATATAAAATATTTAAAAAATCAGTCCATAAAAAAAACAATGGAAATATGTGGTATTTAAGTAACAGCACCGAACCTAATTATAAATATTCTTACAATTTGCAGATCACCTGCTGGTGAAAATTTTAAACATGTTATGTAAAAATAATGTGCCGTTATTATTATGTAGCGATTTAAATATTGACCTGTTAGAAATATCAATGGCAAAAAAGGAAATAAAAGATATACTTATGCCATACAATATTGAGATATTGATTAATGAATCTACTAGAATTTATAAAAATTCATCCAGCTGTATTGATTATATGTGTACAAATCTGGTCAATATTGATAAATATTAAACAAGGCAATATAAATAATATACAGTATTTTACTCGTATTAAACATAATGCCTTATCTCATCATTCATCTCAGGTACTTGTACTTAATCTAATATAAAATAATGTTGAAGAAGGAAATATTCATTATAGACTATCTAGTGAAAACAACTTTAATGTTTTTCTATCTTACATATGTAAAGAAACCTGGTTCGAAATAATAGTAATAATGTATGAAGGTTTTGAAAAATTTATTAATACTCTAAAATATTTTATTAATATTGCATTTCCTGAACAAAAAAATTAGAATAGATGAGAAAATAAATAAAAAAACCTTGGATCACGAAAGGAATATATATTGCAAGCCAGAAATTAAAGAATATATATATAATAATATGATTCCACTAATGATCCGGATGTTATAACTTATTATAAGAAATATAAACGTGTATACAGCGTTGTAATTAAAAATGCAAAAAATGTACAATGACAAATTTTACTTAAAATCTGAAAATAAATCAAAGGCTGCATGGAGTATAATAATTAATAATAGTGTTCACAACAAACCTATAGACCATCGAACTATACTAGAAATGGAAATCGATAATAAAACCATAATTGATAAAAAAAATGGCTTCCCTATTTTAACACGTTTTTTAATGAAATTCCTAAAAAAATGAATGAAAAAATGTTCTAATAATGAAAACAAATACTATAACTTCATAATAGATAAGAATTATCCATCCATGTTTGTTCAACCAGTAAATGAAACTGAAATTTATAATATTTTATGCGTTGAAAAAGTCTAATTCTAGTAGGTGAAAATGGTATTACTGCTAATATTTTGAAATGTAGCATTAATTTCATACTGTTACCTTTAACTTATTTAGTAAATTTGACTTTGTCTCAGGGAATATTTTTAGACGTCTACAATAATACCACTATATAAAAAAGGTGATCATAAAAATGTTGAAAACTATAGACCTGTATCTTTATTGTCTACAATAACAAAAAATGTAGAAAAAGTAATTTCAAATAGAATCATGTCCTTTGTTTCAAAACATGAGATACTACAGAACGCGCAACATGGATTTAGAAAACTTAAAGGTACAGAAACAGCTATACAAGAATTTTTAAATCAACTGTATATAAATTTAGATGATAGAAAAAATTAGTTCGTCTTTTTATGGATATAAGTTAGGCTTTTGATCTGGTAGATCACAACATACTATTGACAAAACTAAACTTTTATGGCTGAAGAGGAGTTCTTAATGATTTAATTAAGAGCTAGCTTAGTAATCGATAATATAAAATCAAAAAAAGTAAAAATCGAATACGGGGTTCTACAAGGCTCGGTTCTTGGGCCCCTACTATTTATTATATTTGTTAATAATTTTACAAGTATTGTTACTAATCATGCATTAGTAATGTATGCTGATGCTAATAGCTGTTTGTGTGCGAAAGACAACATATCTGATGTGAATAATGATACCCAAAGTATGTTAAATATATTCTTCAACTGGTTAAATAACAACAGATTGTTTTTAAATAGGACTAAAACAGTTTTCATACCTTTCACACCTAGATATAAACTAAGAATGAGTCTCATTTGATTAAAATAAATGGTAGGTCAGTTATGCAAGTCAATGATGTAAAATTTTTAGGAATATACTTGGACAACAATCTTGGATAGGATACGCACATTGACAATTTATGTAAAAAATTAACACCAGCGTGTTACTCATTATATCGATTAAAGGAAAATTGACAAATCGGTTTTATTAACAATGATCACAGGTAGGACCAGAATTTACTTCTAATTTTGTTACTTTAACGTGTGTTGTGTGTATCATTTGTATACCAATATAGTAATTTATGGTGCTGATTGGATTCCGACTTAGTTATCGAAAGAATCGATAAAGCCTTTTCAGTATCGATGTCAACGATACTATCGAGGCTCGGTATCGATAAAATATCGATACTTTAAAAGTATCGAGAAGTATCGGTAGCATCCCTATACGTAATGGTGATAATATAACTTAATTTTTCACTGATTTATGTAGGCAATGTTGCTACAAAAGTTTGCATTATATCTTACAACAATGTAGTAAAATAGTCAACAAAAATCTGAACAGGCTCCAAACATAAAATATTAAATATTATTACATGTTTTAGTAGCGTCTTCTACAATACTCATGACTAGAGCCACATTTTGTAGTACAAATTTTAACATAGAAATTGTGCCAGTCACGCTTTCTTCTGCAATTTTTTGCAAGTTTATGTTGCAAATTAATAACCTAATAATTTGTAGTTTAATTTTACTACAATTTCTTCCTGAAATTTAGTACAATTTGTTGTTCCTGTTTGTATTGTAATTTATAATAAAAGTGCGTACAAATATAGTATATATGAAAACACTTATGTTCCTGTGATTATCAAAAACAAAAGAAAAAGTGATAAGAGAAATATCCCTATACTATAAGAAGTGTCTAATGCGTACATGTAAAATTCCGAGTTTTCTTTTTTTACATACATTTGTGGAATTATATAACGATTTTCTTACCCACAGAGACAGAGAAGTTTTACATTATGGTCAACTACTATTACAAGTTTTAGCTCTTTATTGGGTATTGTAAAGACTCCAATTGAAAGTATGATGAAACTTAACATATAAATCGTCTAAACGATATAAAAGTATTGCGAGTAGCGATGCAAATATCACAAAAACGGAATGAAATAAAAGAAAAAAGGTTAAAAGCACTAGCTAGTGTTAGCAAAGTTGAAACCCACGCTTTAAGTAAAAAAAGACGTACACAGAGTATAGGAAAAGTTTTTTAACGAATGCTGAAATGTTTTTTCACTGACATACTGCTTACGCAACTTTTTATGTTCCTGTTTATCAGAGCCCTAAAAGATTTATATTTTTAAGAAGGAAACACGTACCATGAAATTTTGCTTATTTTGTTTTCTTTATGTGATAAAATGTATGCTAAATTTTTGTTAAGATCTCTATTAATATAGACAAGTAATTATGGGACTCTGATATCCACGCAATGATGTCTGATTTGCTTTCCTACCATCGTTTAATTTTCATTTGCACTATACGGAAACGGAAAATTTAAAATGTGTTA